GCTACATGTATTTATTTTGTATTTCTGCAGTGCTCTGGGGTTTAATGCTATCGCATGGTAGGCTGGGTCTATCTGTGCTGAAGGAAGGAATGAATGAACAAAAGACAAACAAGGTAGGGAGGTAGGAGCAACAAGTCACTTGGGAGGGTCAACAAAGGAACCAAGGGCCTCTCTGGAGTTGGGGCGCTACCAGGCCCATTTCTCCATGTTTTCAGGAGGAGAGAGTCTAGTGCTGGGCAGGGCCCTCGCTGTCCTCCCCACCCGCAAGGGCCTCTCTCCTGGCTCTGAGCTCCTCTTCAGGACCCCAGAAAAGGCTCCCTGGTGCTAAAATGAAAGATGATTTCTATTTGGGCTTCCTCTCCAAACCAAAGAGGGTTAACATCTTGACATAAGTACTGTTGCAATGCAAGCAGCCCAGAGGGGTGCAGAGGTCCTCAGTGTTGCCTGGAAACAGGGGCCTGGGCGACCTCTTGGGCAGCCATCTCTAAAAGCTCCCTTGGGCTCTGGCTACAGCCCTCTTCTAGCAGCCTCAAACCCAACTGTGAAGGGCAATCCTCTGGGTGAGGAATATTTTATTTATGTTTTATTTCTGCTGCTAGAAACTCAGGGAGTCTGAGAGTTCTACTGTTCACTCATCAGCCACTTGTAAACTTATTTTCCAAGTCTTCTAGCCTAGGAAGAACCTGAACTCTATAAAGGGGATCTTTCTGTGGAGATGCTCAAAGAGTGTGGGGGAAGGGACAGGGTAAAAGAAGTTGCTAGCATAGCATCAATAAATTCTGTTTTAATTGTAAGTGGTTTTGTACTTTATTACTCTTTCACTTTCCCCCTTCTTCTTCTTCTTTTTTTTCTTTTTGAGATGGAGTCTCGCTCTGTCGCCCAGGCCGGAGTAGCACAGTCTTGGCTCACTGCAACCTCCACCTCCCTGGTTCAAGTAATTCCGCTGCCTCAGCCTCCGAGTAGCTGGGATTACAGGTGTGAGCCACCATACCAGGTTAATTTTTGTATTTTTAGTAGAGACGGGGTTTCACCATGTTGGCCAGGCTGGTCTCGAACTCCCGACCTCAAGCAATCCACCCACCTTGACCTCCCAAAGTGCTGGAATTACAGGCATGAGCCACTGCACCCGGTCTGCTCTCCCTCTTCTTTCTCCCCCTCCTTCTCCAGAGGCAAGCCAGGATCCCTCTTAGGGGACTAAATAAAGAAATATCTTGAGTTCCTTCCAGGAAAATTGCAGGCTCCTAGCTAGCCTTGAAAAGTAAATGAGCAACTTGGTAAGCAAGAAGGTAATAGTAGTTTAAAACGATAGCCAAGGAAGTTAAAGTCATGTTGGTTTCCCTGCAGAAACTAAAGATGACATCTCAACATATGTCCCTGAGTTGTTTCTCAGAAACCTGGACCTTACCAAGTGGATCTGCTGGTATGTCAACCTCAGATAAGGGGCGACTAAGGACTGAACTCTGACCTTCTGAACTTCTTCCTTCTAAATTTCTTCCTGAGGGGCTTGGAGGAGGTCATGCCCATGAGCCAGAGCTAATTCTTTTCTGCTGCTCCCAAATGTTTAGACAAAACTTCACCTCCTTAACCAATCACAAATCAAAAAGTCTTTGAATCTACCTATGACCTGTTCCTCTTTCCCTCACTTTGAGATGTCTTGCCTTTTTAGGTCAAACCAATGTACAGCCTCTATGTATTGATTTATGACTTTGCCTGCAACCTCTGCCTTCTTGCCTTTAAAAACTCTTACCTGTAAGCCACTGAGGACTTCAGGGCTTAAGAATTAGTGGCCCAGTCCTCCTTGCTTGGCACCCTGCAGTTAATGCCTCGGTTTCTCTTGCTGTAGTCCCAATGCCAGTGTTTGGCTTCGCAGTACTGGGCCAGCAGTCCCCAGTTCAGTTTAAAAACACCCTTTCTTTTTTTTCATATGCAAAGTCCCTTTTGGAATTCCTCAGTTGTACCAAGAACAACATGAGAAAGAGACTGCCCCACCCCAACCATTTGACCAGGAAGAATGGGGGAGCTTTGTACCCAGAGGAGAGGAAAAGCCCAGAGGTCGAGATGCTTGCGAAGGACTCTCCCCAAATGGAAACCCCCATTTAGCTCCCCTCCTCACTGAAAGCTTACAGGACTTTAGTTTTGTTTTAGAGAGCAAGGCTGGTTGCCTTTCAGGCCTCAATTTGTTCCCCAAAGTAGTCTTTCCCACTGGAAGAGCTGTGTCTTATTCTATGTATAAAACTGGATTTTTAAACCTGTCAGTCTCCCACATGAAATGTACCCTCTAAACTGGAGTCACTTTGAACCCCAGCAACACTGCGGGTCAGATGACGACCCTGTTTGAAGTGTCTGTGTTGCCCAGACATGCTCCTATTTAACCTTGATAATCCTTTCTGGATGAAGGATGCCAGAGTAAATACCGGTCATTCTATCTCCAGCAGCAATCTTAGCCAAGGAAATGCCAACCTTAGGAAATAAACAGCCCTAATATTAGCCTAGACGTGTGGACATGTTTCCCCAGCAGGTGTGGAAAAAAAAACCCTTAAGATCTCATGTATTTTTAAAGCATGCCTCATGCACCAAAATCTCCCAGGATGTCACTAAATGTAGTTTGGCCCAGAACAGCTGTTATTACCATATCTCTTACCCAAGGGATGAGCCAGCATCCAGCCCTCAGTTTCCTGGTCTCAGGATAGCTGGCTGTCCCCAAAACAGGTTGAAAAGCCCCACCCTTGCTGATCCCACATGTCCCTTTGCCACCAGGCAGGCAGGCATTTTAGAACCACAGCAGACGGCAACTCCCTCCACCATAGAAAAGAATGTGCAAGTGACAGATGCAAACAGACCATGAAGCAGACATCAGAGGTCATGCTGTCACCAATGGGCATTTCCTGACAGGGTCTGTGCACAGCATCCTCTTTTGTTCGCAGGGTATCCTAGGTGCTGGGGTTACACGGAGTCTCACACAGGCGCTAAAGGCTTGACAGGCAGGAAGGTAAGGCATCGTCATCATGATAAACACTTATTATCAGGACTGATTGTGCAGGTAAGCACTGTAGGAAAGTCCTCAGAGGAGGAATCAGGGCTGAAGAAATGGGACCTGAGAAGTACCTTGTTACAAACCTAGACGTCCACTAAGGAGGGGAGAGGGAGGGCTTCTGGAAAAGTATTGGGGAAAGGTAGGTTTCATAAGGTTGATAGAGACAAGTGAGGCAGAGCACAGCTGTATTGCAAAGAAGTCAGAGCTCATCCCGTGGCCTTCTGGGAGCCAGACTAGGACAAGTAAATGGGCCTCAAAATGTATCATACAAGAACCAGAAACTCCCTATTGGCCTGAACTTTAAATTCACTGTCACGAATGCGGCGCCTGCAGATCAAAGAGGTAGGTGCTGGTGGAAGATAGGGTTGGGAAAGTCAGAGAAGAGGAAAGGCACAGAAAGAAGAAGAAACAGTCACTGGGCTCCCAGTTGCATCAAAAGACAAAGTGCTCTATGATAAGAAGCCAGAGGGTGGCTGGGTGAAGTGGCTCATGCCTGTAATTCCAGCACTCAAGGATGGCTTGAGGTCAGGCATTTGAGATAAGACGTCAGAGGTCTAAGGCAGTATACCAAAAGCATCACATAATTGCTATAGCACCCAGAGTCCGTTCTTTTAAGAAAACAGAAATATTTTTATAACTTTATACTTTATAAGCATTTATTATGTAATTATGTCTTTATAGTTCTAATAAAATGGAATCAAAACTTACGGCCTTGTCATTTACAAGAGTTTAAAGTAAGGTAGAAAATTTTGTTTCCAATTCTTTCTTTCTTTTTTCTTTTTGAGGCAGAGTTTCACTGTTATTCCCCAGGCCGGGAGTGCAATGGTGCGATCTCAGCTCACAGCAACCTCCGCCTCCTGGGTTCAAGCTATTCTCCTGCCTCAGCCTCCTGAATAGCCAGGATTACAAGCATGGGCCACCACGCTGGGCTAATTTTTAGTAGAGACAGGGTTTCACCATGTTCATCAGGCTGGTCTCGAACTCCCAACCTCAGGTGATCCACCTGCCTCAGCCTCCCAAAGTGCAGGAATTACAGGTGTGAGCCACGATGCCCAACCTCCAATTCTTTTTTAGGTGTACAGGTATGAGAAATTTAAAGACATTACAAAACAGTGCTTTGGGCAAAATTGTGTAATGATAGAAACATCTAAACATCTGTTTTCAAATGTTTTTTCCTTAGCAAGTCATAAATTTTTAAAAGATAACAAAGCATCATCTTTAAAATGAACTGCTTGTTGTTTTGTATAAGAAAAACAAGTGACTTTAATTTTGATAAATCTTAAGTACTTGCCATGAGAAAACTGGTAAACCTTTATGGGAAACAAAAGACCTCCCTGATCACTCCATATCCCATTACAAAGTATTGTTAAGAATTCCATTATTAAAAAGAAAAGAATTGTTATATTTTATAGACCTTCTTTTTATAAAGTTAACATCATCATTTACAACACAGCATTTTGTGCACATCTGGCTTTAACTTCTTTGCTGCCCAGTAAAGGAATATTAAGTGTGGTTCTATCTTTGTTACCACATCAGATCCCTCTTTTTATTCCAGTCAATAATTTTTCTATAAAGCATTTTTATTAAGGAAGTCATTTACTCTTTTCCCACTCATCATCCCTTTAGTGGCTCAAAAATACTGCTTTCTGACACAATTCTCGTATTTCAACAAAATGTAGCGAGTCCCAGTAACTGAGATGTTAGAAATGTCTCCATTTTAAGTCAAACATATAGCAGATTTCCTATAAGGCATACCTTGTCCTAACATTCATTTACAAATTTTTCAGCAATGCTTTTTATTCGTCTTTCTATAATGCCTGCTGACAAAAGATTGCACTTTTTATTGCCATATTGTTTTTCATGTCTCATTTCAGCCATTTGTCATGGTAGAAAAAGCAAGTGTTTCCCTAAGGGCATATGGCTTTTTGTGCTTTGCAATTACTAAGAACATCAAAAGATCCATGCATATGTTTATCATTAGATTTAATGAAATGTTGTTAAATACTGGATTAAGCATTGTAATGACTAAGTGTCAGTGAAAAAATGGAGAATGTTTTTCTTCATGGTCTAGATGCTTCATTTTTAAGTATCTTACTAATTGGGAAATTTTCTGCTATCATTAGCTAGTATCTCAAGACAAAAACTCTTAAGACAATATCCTTGATTAACATTAATAAATGTCAACCATATTTCCGATAATTGTTTTTTAAACATTGAATTTTTTTGTCAACTTTTTTTAGCTCCGATAGGATGCTCATCACTTTGCCTTATAAAGTGGCTAAAAAAGTACTTATAAAGAAGGAAGAGGGTCACTCCAGAAATCTTCTTTTTGTTTTTTATGCTTTTACTATTTATATTATCTCCAGCTCGTATTTCTTTGCAGGAATCTTTCAAAGACATTTGTTCATTTTGTGAAGGTTGTGTAAACATATGGTAGGCACTTGAAAAGATGTTGGTTGATTGAGAAAATCTGATGATACAGTTATTATTTCCTCTTTTTTTTTTTCTCATGCTGTCTAGTCTAAGATCATCATTTTCTCTTTACAAAGATCTTACAGCTCCCAAATGATTTTCAAGATCTGCAATCCACTGGGCTATCAGTGGCAAGCATCCTTATGCCCTAAATGGTTTGACAAAGAGAGGGAAAAGGCCCCCTGTTCCTAGTTCAGGAGGATCAAGTTTTTAATTCTCAGCCAAGACGTTTTTTCTTGTATGCCACATTCTTTCTTGAGAGGAATAAAACCAATCTGTGGTATTTTATTCTTCACTTTCCCCCAGAGTCTTAAATACAGATGAACAGTCAAAGAGCTCAGTCTTGTCTGAGATGCTTGCCCAGGCCTGCTGGAGTTCTGCTGGGAGACTGTAGCCTGGCCAGGTCTAACCTAGGAGGAAATGAACCTGAGGACAGAGCCTGGACAGGAAATGTACATTGGTTGTTGAGTTTGCAATCGCACAAAAAGACACTCTCTTTAACAATCTTTAGGCGTCACTTAGAATTGCATTTGGCTCCCTGTACTAAAAACCCAACCACACTGGCTTACCCAAATGATGCTTTTATTTTTGTCATATAACAAGAAATCAGGAAGCAGAGAGTCCAGAGATGTTGTTAAGAAAGTTAAGAAGAACCTCAGATCTGCATGTTCTTCAAATGTACCCCAAAACCTAAAATGCAATTAAAAAATTTAAAAAAAAGAACCTCAGATCTTTCTAGCTTCCTGCGCCACCATCCTAGCATGGGGCTTTCCTTTTCAGGAGCGTGAGACAGCTGCTTCATTCCCAGGCATCTCCTCCTTCAGGTGGGAAGAGGGGCAGGGTGAGGCCAAATGCAGCCTTACTCTCCTCTTGGGCCTTTCTCTGCATGCACACATGCCCTTCTCAGAACCCTGCACCTCCATTTCATTGTCCAGTACTGTGAACACTGCAAGAGAGCCTGAGAGATCAGATATCAACTGAGCACATTACAGCCCCAAATAAAATTGACATCCATTTAGTGAGATGAAGGGGAGGAAAGATTCTGGAATAACTCGGAATGTCTGGGCTCATTTCATGAATTAACCACTCATGCTTCAATTCCATATGGAATAGACTGATCCTTGCTCGTCCACCATCCCCTCTCAAAAACTTGTTCATCATGCCTTAGACAAGCAGCACACTGAGAGAAAGTCTTCAGGGGGTTCTCCATGTGCCCCAGTCACACACTGAGCTGGCCTACGATTCATTCCTGAACAATTTCCTTGGAGACAGTAGGGACCGGGATGCCTGGACCCAGCCTTTGGTTTACTGTGGGGAAAAGGAGGCTCCTCCAGGTCCTTGACCTACCTTCTGAGTGCTTGAGGAGGACACCTCCGATTCACAAATAAATGGAGCCATCTGCGACAGGCTGCGCAAAGGCTGAGCCTCAACCGCAGAGCCACAGCATCCAACCCTGCTATTCATCCTGCGTCCAGATGGGAGTGCAGCCCAGCAGCCCCTGAGGGCGTTGGATTTCAGCACGGGGAAGACCTTGTGTGGGAGGCTCTCCCAGGCAAGAGGAGGTGGGAGCAGGAGGAGGGGAGGCTCAGGGCTGGGGCGCTGACTGTACTTGAAGCTGTGATTCTCATCAGCGCCTTGGAGGATTTGCCACTTCTGCTCCACGCCTCTTCCAAAGGTGATATGGTAGATTTCATTCAAGCTAAATAGATTTACTATTTTGTCAAATATTAAGAATTTTTGTGTGTCCTTTTAAAAGCAGCATAGCCTAGGTGACTCTGGGCAGGGTTAACAGTCATCCGTGTGAATAAATCAGGAGGATGGATGGTTTTTTTTCTCTCATTGTCAAATCAACATATACACACTGAAGAAAATTTAGAAAGTACAGAACAATTTTAAGAAGCAGGAAACAAAACTTTTTGTAAATCTTAGGAGAAATACAAATCTAGATACAGATTCCAGATATATGGGTAGTACCTCCCTACAGTGCCTAGGAAAGTGTCTATGGCAGAAATTGCTGGCTGCTGCCAATATCATTCTTCATTTCTACCACAAGCTCAAATTCATTTAGCACAACGACGTGCCCAGGTAAAAGACAGCATTGCTTAACCTCCCTTGCAACTGGCCAGTGTGAGAGGGTTATAAGTAGAACTTGGATGGGATCGCAGAAAGACTCCTCACGGGGCAGGCAGGTCAGGCATGCATGCTGTGCCATTTTGTTCCTTTCTATTCCCACCTTTCCTGCCTGAAATGTAAATGTGATGGCTAAAACTCCAGCAGTCATCTTGGACATTTTAGGATTAAAGCTATGTCCAAAGACAGTGATGCAGAAAGCTGGAAGAAACCTGCATCCCTGATGACTTGGTCAGAGCTGCCATACCTTCTCTGAAACCTGCCTCTGGACTTTTATGAGAGAGACTTAAGCCTTTGTTTAAGTCACGGTGGTCAGGTCTTCATTAATCACAACTAAATGTAATTCTTACTGATCCACTGCCTGGCACAGCGTGATGTCTAGTAAAAGCTGGAACATCTCTAAAGAGCTACAGGTGCTGAGAACAGTGGGCAAAAGAATCCTGGCACTGCTCCACTACAAGCTCTGAGTGACCAAGTCCTGTGCTCTTTTGGGCCTCAGTTTATTTTCTCTGACGTGTGAGGGTCACACTAAATACTCTCTAAAGGCTTCTTTGAGCTCATGTCCTTCTGAATCTATGGACTGGAGAGATCTGGGTGCTCTTCTGGTTCCGCTCTATCACTTTGTAACTGTAGGTGGGTTTCACAGCCTCTTGGAGCCTTGGGTTTTCATCTCGGTTGAGGTACACAGGAAATGTCTGTTGAATGAAGGAGGAAAGTGGGGATCATGCCACCTGTCTTGGCTGCCTCCCCAGATGATAGCAAGGATAGAATAAGATGACCCTGTACCATGCCACCCAGAAGAGCGGGCTACTGTAATTCTAATGGCTGCAGGACTGGCCTCCCCTGACCTCATGCAGAGCTTGTGTTCTAGGTATTTGCCAGAACTGGCCTCTACTAGAAAATGGCCCTGCCACCTTCCTCTCTTTGAGCAGCTCCAGACCGCTTCCTGGGTGGCCAAATCCCTTTGTTGAAGGAAGGACCAGGAAGAGAACTAAAGAGGTCCACAGCAAGTGTCAGTGAGAAATACAATCAGCCCCTCCCTGAATGAAGTTCCAGAGACACTATCCACCATCTTCTGGCTGACCCCTTCTGAGGGTGCCAGGGACTTCTGCCATCATTTATCTTCAGGGGAGAAGGCTGTGGCCATCTGAGGAGCTTCTTGATCCCCATTGGCCCGGAGCTCCACCTGTGCGGCTGTTTCCTGGGAGGAAGTTCGGTTGTCCTGGCACTCAATCTCCATGGCAACCCTTGCTTTTGAGACACTGAATGGAAACAGCCTGGTACGGAGAGGCCAGTAGCAGAATACTGATTTGCCTGAGTGTCTGTAACAATGACTACATCCCAATACCTTTCCAGATACCCAAAGAGCTAAAAATACACCCGGTTCTGTCTAGGGCTCTCCAGCCCCGCTAAGCATCTTAAAGTACATCTGTGCTGGCTCTGACCTGCTAATATTAGTTATCTTCAGCAACTTGGGCTTGGGGACATGGAGTAAGATGTTGCATGCAAAATTGCTGAGCCCAGGTCCGAAGGGGTGCGTTAGAGAGAAGAGGGTGAAGTGAGGAGGACCTCCTGAGAGGGAATCAGGGGGTTCCGGGGTAACAGGCAGCAGAGAGCACACCGAAATCTTAACTCCCTGCAGAGCTCTAGGGAGCTTGTTTGTCCAACTCAGACGATCTAAGCATTTGCTCATTTGACAGCTATCTATTAAGTACCTACTCTGCTCCAGGCTCTTTGCCAGGCACTGGGATGCCAGGGGTGAATAAAGGAGAGTGTATGTTCCCTGCTCTCACCAGAGTTTACCAAATGTCTTAAGTCAGAATCATCTCTGCAAGTCCAGAAATACTGTCTGCATATACTAGGATGTCTCCTCTGCTACGCAGTGAGGATTATTTTACTTACATGTTGGCACCCCTTCCAGAACATAGTAGGTGGTGAGCTAATACAGAATTGAATGGAATGGGATGAACTGGAATGACACTGCTACAACTTCTGTGGCCTGTTTAGAGCACTGCCGCAGTCTTCTCCTGGGCCTCCCAGAGGCTCTGGCTGGCTCTGCGAAGTATGTGCTCAGGCTGTGAGGTGCTGTGTTTGGGATAGACGAGGTGACTGCTCCACTGACACCTGCTGAGAAAGCTCAGTATAAGGTGACAGTTTGAATTTATTCCTAGTTTCCTTGGCAGGATGTACAGACAGTCCCCCCTCCACCTCATCTCCTTCTTCCCGTAATCACTGCACATGGCATTCAATTAATTCAGCATTTCCCAGGGCAGGAAGCTGTACAGAGTTTAGAGCAAACAGCCGTGCCAGGGCTGCTCTCAAAAAAGCAGCTGTCACACTCAGCCCCAGTCTTCAGCTCCAACCTGGCCTCCTCCTCATGGCAGATAAGCCACAAGATGGAGAAACGGAAAATGACCATGACTCTCTGGGGATGTTCTTGGATGTGCCGTGGGTGCTATGAAGGTACATGAAGTGCAGACGCCACAGTGACCCTCACCATCCTCCTGAGCCTCAGGGGTCAGGTCCTGTGGCTGGCTGGTTGGCTTAGAGCAGAGAGAAGGGGCTGGGCTCCGGGATGTACCACATCCTGCAGGCTGTCTAGCTGAGAATGAGAGTGCTTCCATGCGACCAAGCCCTCCTTTCTGGCAAAGCATCTCCAGATCTGCCTGAACAGGGACATCCACAGCAGAGCTGCCTGGGGTTCCTTCCTGGAACTCTGCAGGCAAAACAACAGCAGCAACACCTCCCATCCCCCAATAGGTGGGGACACAGCCAAACCGTATCAATGTCCTTGGCCTGTGGAGCTTGAAGTCCTCTAAGTGGACACTCTAAGCCAAGCCGGACTAGCATGCAGTGACACTGTGGCCCCTCACATGGAGGTCCTATAGGGACTCCTGCCAATAGGCCACCCTACCCTGTAGGCACTCCCCAGCCTCCCTCTGGGTAGAAGCAGCTGCCACGAGGGATACCTGGCTGTTCCTGTTTGCCTAGGACCTATCTCCCCTCTCTGCCTGCTACAAGGCCCTAGTCCCATCCCCCAGAACTGCCCTTAAAGGCTGGAGTGTAGCTAAGCCTGCAGGAGGTGAGGCCAGGGTTTCCAGGCAGTCCAGCGGCTTGGCTTCAGGAACAGCCACCTGCTTCTCCACCTGATGGGCTTGGCCTAGCCTCCCTACCCCAGCTGCTCCTCTCCTCCTCCCAGAGAAGCCCGGGGCCTCTTCTAGGAGAGTGGTCCTTTCCCAGCAAACTGGCTGTATATGAGCACACAGCACCTCCAAGGAGGTCTTCCTTTCCTCTTCCTTCCTTCCTTCCCTCGGGGGCCTTGCTGGGTGCCTCACTCAGAGCAAGTGCCACTCCATGTTTGTGGGATGACCGAGTGAAGAAAGGAAGAAATAACTGTGCTGAAAGTCTCAAAACTACTTCAGCCCCTTGGCAATTTGCTTTTCCTCAGGACAGGAATCTCTATCCACACTGACAGTGCCCCTGACCTTTCCTTATGCCAACCATGCAGGCATATTTCTTCAAGAGGACAATCCCATCTCTTTTCCTGGGAGCTTCCAACCACAAAGTGGCCCAGGCTTGCTCAGTGGTGCCAAATGTGGCACATGAATTATTCTAAGCAACTCGACGGCCTGGTTTGTAGGTGTATGCCATACAGAGACTGACGGGAACTGTGCCCTCAGGGAGTGAGTGCAGAAGGCAGTAGGGCAAGATACAGGGTGGTCTACCAGATGGCCGCCTGGAGGACGTGGAGGAGGGAGGAGGGACCCCTCCTAGGGGTCTGCCTGGACTTCTGGCTGGAGATGAGGGTTAAGCTGATTAGGCATTGCTGGGCGATGAGGTAGGCCTGGTCATGTGGGAGGAGGGAGGTGGAGGAGCCTGGGAAAGGGGAGCTGTGTCTGGCAACCATTTGGAAGAGGGTGTTTTATTTGGCATGAGAAAAGTGGTGATGACCCATTCCTGTTTTCAGCAACTAATTCCTGCTAAGGTGTTAATTGTTAATTAAGGAAGGTGTTTGCTGATAACAGCTTCAAGGTGGGACTTGAAAACATATGATTTCACTTATATGAGGCACTTAGTCAAATTCACACAGACAGTAGAACCCTGGTTGCCGGGGCTGGGGGAGAAGGGAATGAGGCATTATTGTTTAATGGGTGCAGAGCCTCCGTTTGGGAAGATGAAAAGAGTTCTGGAGATCGCCGGCCGTGTTGGTTGCACAACATGTGAATGTATTTAATGCCACTGAAAAAAATGGCTAAAATAAAAAATTTTTGTGAGTCTATTTGACAACAATTTTTTTAAGGCAATGTTTTTATTCTCTTTCTCCAGAAGCAAGGCCTCTACTCATTTTTTCTTTTAAGGACAGCAGGCAAGAGCAGTGACACTTCTAAAAGGTCGCCAACCCTGAGCTTGATACCTAATTATCAGCTGATCCTGCTCAGACTCCCAGAGGGGAATTGATTAATCAGTGTTCTGTCCAGGCCAAGGAGTCTATATATCAGACTCATTGGAAGGAAGCTGGCTCTGGTGCTGAAGTCAGGCCGAGGGAGGCGAGGTGGATTAGCATTCACTGAGTGTCTGCTGTATGCCAGGCAATGTGATAAGCAGGTGCCAGGCATACAAATCAACAGCTTCTGTCCTCAAGGAATTTGCAAGCAACTTCCACCCTCAGCTACCAGCCTGCCAGCCCCTATTGTGGAGAAGGCCATGAGCGTAAAGAGGAAGAGACATATTCTTGCAATTGTCTGCCAGGACGCAGGACCCAAAGAATTTTTTCCAGGGCCTCCAGAAAAAAGGGGCCTACCCTGCTACTGACCTCTAACAACAAAAGTGTCTCTGTGTCCAGATCGTGAAAAGCAGTTAGGGTTGTCTGACAGAATCTTCATAGTGATGTAGTCAGCCATGGGGCAGGAAAGGACAAGAATCCTGTCTGGGCTCCATACTTCCTGCAGCCCCCCGGGGTGGGTGGGCAGGGTGGGGGGCCTGAGAGGACCTCACCTTTGAGCTGACAGAAGAGACTTTCTTTGGCCAGCATCCCCTGGTGATCACAGGTTCCTAAAACTGGGAAACCACCCAAATAGTTCAGGTTCCTGAAGGGAGGGTCTTATCTTTCCTACATCTGCCACTCTCTAGACATGTGGCTGATAGAGACCCCGCCACAAAGTTTGGCCGGCAGTTTAAACTTTCAGCCTCAATTCGAAACACATGATTTTCATTCATTCAACATCGACTGAGTCCCAACTTAATATTAGGTATGTTAATAATTAAGTCTCTGCCCTCAAGCTGAACAGGAGACAGAGATATGTCAAAGTATAATTTCCAAAAAGTTAGAAACACTAGTCTCACAAAGTTATAGTATGAATATGTATTAAAGATTTTATTGAACTCAAACAATACAATAATGAAGTTGATTCAAAGAGCATTTGAGGAACTGGGATTTAAAAGAAAGGCACACCAAAATAATTTTTTAAAAAATAAATACATATTTAGTTAATGTCCTACAAGGAAATAAAACTGGGTTATTTTTCCTACTGGATACAAATCATTTCACTATCAGGCAAACAAACAAACAAAAACCCTGTAAGTTAATATGTAACTTCACAGTCTGAGCCCTTAATCAATAGCAAATGACAAAGTCAAGCAATTATTGTCTTCTACTGCAGCACTTTCCAGTGGATATGTAATGTGACTCAGGTGCATAATTTAACTTTTTCTAGTAGTCACATTAAAAAGTAAAAACAAACAGGTGAAATTCATTTTAATAATTTATTTAACCCAACACATTCAAAATATTGTCATTTTGACAAGGGCAGTAGTCACATTTCAAGTGTTCAATAGCCATCTGTTGATGGCACACTTTTAGAGAATTAGTAATCTTCATGTCAGACAAAGCCTCAGTATGATATTGAAGGAACATGCAGGCATCCTCTAGGCCACAGCTATATTTTGGATCATTTTCCTACCATATCTACACATATCCCTGTGATCTAGTTGGCCAGGACTACAGGAGAGTCTAATCTATGAGGCTTGAAAGGGCCTGTGGAAAGCAGTTGAGTAAATATCTGGTGCAACAAATGCTCTTGTAAAGGTATGTCACTGGTTGAGGAGCAAGACGTTCTGCTGGCGGGACAAGGTGGATTAGAAGAGACTTCACAAGGTCTGGCGCGGTGGCTCATACCTGTAATCCCAGCACTTTGGGAGGCTGAGGCAGGTGGATCACGAAGTCAGGAGTTCAAGACCAGCCTGGCCAACATGGTGAAACCCCGTCTCTACTAAAAATACAAAAACTAGCTGGACGTGGTGGTGCACGCCTGTAGTCCCAGCTACTTGGGAGGTTCAAGCAGAAGAATTGCTTGAACCCAGAAGGCAGAGGTTGCAGCAAGCCGAGATCACGCCACTGCACTCCAGCCTGGGTGACAGAGCCAGCTTCTGTCTCGGAAAGGAAAGGGAAGGGGAAAGGGAAGGAAAAACTTCATAAAAGAAATCAATGTATCAAAAAGAAAGGCCGGGGCCGGTGGCTCACACCTGTAATTCCTACACTTTGGGAGGCTAAGGCAGGAAGATTGCCTAAGCACAGAAGCTCCAGATCAGCCTGGGTAACATAGCAACACCACATCTCTACAAAAATTAAAAATTAGCCAGGCATGGCGGCATGTCCCTGTGGTCCCAGCTACTCAGAGGAGGATCACTTGGGCCTGAGAGGTCAAAGCTGCAGTAAGCTGTGATGGCACCATTACACTCCAGTCTTGGTGACAGAGCTAGACCTTGTGTTTAAAAAAAAAAAAAAAAGATACCTGCACTCATGTTTATTGCAGTACTATTCAGAACAAAGACATGGACTCAACCTAAATGCCCTGCCCACCAACAGATGATCAGTAGATAAAGAAAACGTGAGGGCT